ACACACAAATTAATCGTAATTAAATTGAATAAACTGACTTAAGGGCTTGAGGTATAACTTGTTACTACTTCTATTATTTAAAAAAAAAAAAAGAAGTAATGTAATAATCATAATCCCTTAATACTACGAATCTGGTGATATTTGCCTATTAATAAGTCATCTGATATCAGTAATAGTTAACATGTTTACTCTTCCCATACATATCACAGTAAATAACTATGATAGTAATATCAAGTAATAATTTTAAAAATGAAATTCTACCATTAGAATCCAATTTTAAATACTACCTCAGGAACCACTTCTTCTGAGGCAGAAAAGAAGTATGTATATACAATCAACTCTGAAGCAGCATCTATATATTTCTCCTGTGACAAGACAAACAGAAAAAGGTCATTTTAAAATTTTAACTAAAGACCAAAATTTTCTACCTTCTTTTGCTATATATTCTTTTAAGTGAAAAGATGGAATATAAGCAAATAAAATTGTTTCTAAGGCAAAAGATCACTATAACTAAATGCTTTAATCTTCCTCCAAAGTTCATTAAACCTAACATTAAATATTAGATCAATAGTTAATGTATCAACTTATAATTAAATTAATAATGATAAATAATGATGACAGTGATTATAAGAATGTATGTGTGTACACACACACCCACACAAAATAAGTGTTAAGACAATGGTATTTTGCCTTTAAAAAGTTTATACTCAAACTGCAGTTTGCAGTTTTTGTTAAAAAGCAACACAAGATTTAAAAAAATCAGGTCAATAATAAAAGAAATACTATCCACTCTTTACTCCTGTTTCATAAAGGCAAACACTGTAGAGGGTATATAAGAAAGAGTTTCTATTATAAAAATATTTAGATTAAACTAAAATATTTCCAGTAAGAGTAGACTATATTTTGAGATTTAGGGGAAGTCCTGGCTATAAAGCAAATTAAATTATAATACGCCTGTTTTTGCAGATTAAAAAAATAATTCCATACTTTCAAAGGTGATTCTCCACCTATATAAACAAAAAATACACGATGTCTCTTCCGCATATGTTCAAACATTTGCTGACTTGGAAGTGGCCGAATTAGAGCCCTGTTTGAAAACAAAACAAACAAAAAACAAACTCGCATTATGAACTAAAGATAGTATATGATGTATTACCTAATTATGTACTTATATTATGTATTATGTAATGTACTATTTATATGATAGCCCATCATGTCTAAAGTTATAAAGTTTAAATAACATATTAACTGCATTTTAACTGTATCACCAAGTCCACATAAATCTAGTAAAAGCACAGCCCATGACTACTATTGTAACCATATATTAAAAAATTATATATACCCACAATTTAACCTATCAGTTCAAAATAAGTTTCAAATAGATCACTTCAGAGAGTTCCATCATTGCCAAGATTTTGAAAAGCAAAAACAGAACTATCATCCATTTAGAGTCTTTGGCTAAAAAAATCAATTCATGTGAGAATTTTTTTTTCTCCCTTTCAAAAGATCATTCACAAAAACATACTGTGAAATACTATCCCAGAAGTACATAGTACTATACAAAGAATATTTACATCTTATTCTGTCAAATTAAAGGCTATATAGTTTTTAGGTACTCTGTGGAGGCTAAAACCCAAAATGACTTGAAAGCATGTTACTAATTATTTTCAGGAAAAATAAAATGGAAAATGATGGTCATAATAGTACATAAGAACCTCATAAAGAGAAAACAAAACTATAAAAGTGTTTTATTATACAAGTATTTTTCAAAGCAGTAGATAAATGAATTACATCAAAGATTATTATAAAACACAGCACTTACATAAAATACTGCCTAAACACTAAAAGAAAAGGCAGTCTTCTTTTAAATGGTGTATATTAGCAGATTTTCACTCCACTGAATTTGTAAAAAAAAACGTGTCTTGCACAGGCAAACATACTTTCAAAATGAACAATTCTTAAGATGCATTGCATCACTACATGCTAGCCTCTATTTTAATTCTCAGTAATGAACTAGGAAGTGATGCAACTCCAGAACTGCCTCTTGAAATGTGATGTGCAATAGAGTCACCCCCAGTTACATCAGGGGAATTCCTTCTTAGAGTTAAACCAAAACTCATTAAAAACTGCAGAAATATAATGACTAATATAAATCATGGGGGAATAAAGTACACTCCACTAAGCATTCCCCTCATATGACATAAAGTAATATAAAAATTTCTTTATTCACAAAGCAAATAAAGAAAATGAAACATACAATCAATGAGAAAATATAGGGAAAATTATATTAGTGAGTACTGCAAATTTTAATGTATAAAGATCATTTCCAGTTCTGTAAATTTTCTCAAGTAATTTGAGACAGTATTATGCCACACAACAAATCTGTCCCAGTGTAATTTACCTTAAAACTGTTAAGAAGTATCAATAAAATATATCCTGCCAAACTCTTAAGAAAGTGCCTATTCTTTAAAGCCAACATAGATTAACCTATTTTGATGAATGTTCTCTTCAGGAGTTCCACATAATCATAATTATAAGCACTGACTTTTCTTTATACCCCAGCAATATGTAGGTTTAAAAAAAAATTACCACATTCAAACCAACAGGAAATGCTAATGAAAGGATTTGTTTTCTTATAAGTAAAACCTCCGAAACCTGAATTTCAAATAGATCTTCGGGTTTTAATTATGTGACATTCTAAAGCAAAAAAATGCAATAATACTTCACAGCTGGCATAAAGAAGCATGTAATAGAAAAGTTAAAGTATTTTAGTTGTATATAAAAAGCATTTTTCAGTACCAAAGGCTAGGGATGAAAGCCCAAGTCTACCCAAAAAAATAATATTCTAGGGCTTCTTTTAAAACTCTGAAATTAGGTAACAAGAAAAATAAATTGATATAAAACAGGCAGTACAAAAGCAAAATTATCATAAAGTAAAAATTAAGATTCACAAAGTTTCTATAAGTAATCAAAATTTTGAAAATGTATTACAAATTCATTGGAGAAAAATTCTTCTATACACAAAATGAATATAAACGTGAGGTTAACAAGTACATAATACAAGTAATGGTCTGTGTTTCTCTAAAGCATCTCTGGATATGCCCCATAACCTTATCTTTTCTGGTAAATAAATTAGGTTATACCCCTAAAATATGTGTGCTCAATATTGTCTATTAAAATATAGTTAATTTTGAAATATTAATATCTTATAGTAAAGGCCTTTCCTAATAAGAACTTACCCAGATACTCTGTGAGCAAACTCAATAATATCATCTTTAGTTCGTGGTCCTCTGTAATTATATGCCAAGTCCCCCTTTAATCTTAAAAAGAAAAAAAAAGGATAAAAATGTGGATTATTTTAACTGTTTTAATATTAAAAGTTAATCACTCTCTACTGTTACATAAAATTACAGTTATAAAATACTAAAGGCAGGGGAGTTTTAGAAGTAGCATACTCATGTAAAGTATAGTAAGCAATTGGCTTCGGAAAACTAGCAACTCAAAATATAAAGAGAAAGGCTGTCTTCTATTAGAATTATATGAAAATATTTTACTCTGTATTTGACAATTGCATTGGGTTCATGCCTGCTGAAAAGTGAGTAATCTACACATTCATGATCAAGAGCTTGGAAAACTGAAGCACTATAACTCTCAATATATTCCTTGTCAAAAGATAAATAAAAGGTCAGGGAATTAAGAGTATTTTGGTGAAGGCAAAACGAATTTTAAGCAATATGTCATAGTTACTTGATAGATACTACAACATTAGAGTAAAACAATGCATAAAAACAACTCTTCTAGAAAACTAGATAATTCTCCAAAAGCCTACCAATGACTTAACCTATATGTCTAAATAATTGAAATTTAAAAACAGAATAATTGGGGAGCACAACAGAACACCTATAATTAAACAGAAAGAAGAAAAAAGATTATAACGCTAACACAAAAAGTAAAAGGAGCTTAAACAAACATTTTTTAAAAGTGGGAGGAGGAAGGACAACAAAACCCCCAAAATCAATTTAAATTACTCAAATTTTAAAATTTGAGATTTTAAAATATTGAAAGAAAACTTACTTTATTATAAAAATAACTTTCAAAACAATTCCTCAGCTCCCCACATTACCAAAATAAGGTGAATGACAATCATGAGAAAATTCAATAAAATTATGACTATAAAACAAGCCCTTTAGAATTATCACACCATTTCTTCCCACTTGTACACTCTATTAGACTTGATCAACACCTACAGATTAGAATTAACATCCATCAATTTTGATTCTCTTCGTTTCTTTCATCTCTAATGAAATAAGTCTACTTTAACTATACAAAAGTTAAATCTGTTAGGAGACAGGATTTACAACGATAAAGCAAATTGCACATTTGAGCTCCGCACGGTAAAGGACCTTTCATAATTTATGACTGTATACCTTTGTCCTGTGTAGTGCGTGTCATACAATAAGCACTCAAAAGACGTTTACTGAATTAGCCTTAAACAACATTATGATTTAAATATGAAGAAAAGCATAAAGATACAGCCCCTCTCCTTTGATCACATACGTCACCTAAAAAGACTGGCTGAACCCACATCTTCAATCCTCCAAGGAAGCTACTAGAAATTATTGTGATAAAACGTAAGTAGAGTGAACTAATAAAAATACACATATAAACATACAACACTCAACTTACAGCTTAATTGTTGGATAACCTCGAACTCCAAACTCTGAAGCAATGCCTTGATAAGAAAAAGAATAAATAATTCTAAATTTTTTAAAAAATGAGAAACTAGGTAACAAATGAGCCTTTTACTTAAAAAATATATCGTAATGCAAACCCAAATAGATATGTTGTTTTTAAGTCTTAAAAAATATAAACTCATACAATAAAGAAAAAAAGCATGACATTCTCATACAAAACAATTACGAAATAATCTAACCTATGGCCTGCACAAAATACTATGGCAAAATATGAAATAAATGCCGAAGAGTAGTTAAAAATTTATCTCTAAAGTACTCATTTTAAAAGATATTCTGGTAAAAAAAAAAAAAATACATAAAGTACTTCTCATTTAACTTAATTTCCAGGACAAGTGTTCTTCTAGGTCACATTCACTCCTCTAAACAAAAAGGCCCATCGCTTCCTTTTGTGTTTTCTGAGTCTTCAAAGAACTGCAGTGTATTTTAATTTTAAAAACACAAATTGTATTTGAAAAATTACTTAAAACTGCAGTCAATACATGATCGAAAAGAAATTTTATCTGCTTGTTTTAGGAGTTTCTGCATTTGTAAAAACCTAGAATAATTCCAATTATATCAAAGATTATTCTGAAATCCTCAGATTAAGGTGAGAAAGCATTTTTGAGGGGAAAAAATAGTAACAAAAACAAGCACACATCAACAGGAAACTAGGACTCTAAAAACTATACAAATCATATAGCAAATTAATACTATACTACTTTATAGATTCAAGGCAAAAAAGAAATAAAATATGCTCAGTAATGGACATTTTACAATAAAAACACTTGCAAACCTATAGAATTTGCTCACATGATCTCTCCCTTAGTAATTTCCTTTATTTCCAGGATATTTTCTTAATCACAACTGCATACAAGAAAACTACTCCTATACATGGATTCTGGTGTCACAATCACTTTAGTAATCTTCACTAATCTTTGGTTTCTCATCACTCCTCACCAATTCATAAGAACAATGACAAAGTGAATTGAGGAAAAATAATATACAAAATTTCTCAGCCTTCCTTTGTCAACTCTAGAGTTTCTCCCTTAAACATATGGAGAGAAGTGACTGGAAGCGTAATAACTTCGTATAGCATACATTATACGAAGTTATACGATACCACTTGGAAAATCTTACCACCTTTAAGAATTATGCTAAATCTACTCTGCCTGTGCTCTGTAAATGGAACAACAAAGCCTGGCTGACAACACTTCTGTTTACAACATGGTTTACTAAATGTTTTAAGTCCACTTTTGACACCTGCTGCTCAGAATATCACAATGTTACTGGTCGTTGATAATGCACCTAGTCACCCAGAGCCTTGGTGGAGATGCACAAAAAGTTTGATGTTATTTTCATGCCTGATAGCACAACATACTTTACTTCAGCCCATGGATCAAAGAGTAATTTCAACTTTCAAGTCTTAATATTTAAGAAATGCATTTTGTAAGGCTATAGCTGCCATAGATAATGATTACTCTGATGGATCTAAGTCAACTTCAACTCAAAAATACTATTTTCCTTAATATTTACTGAGTATCATTCTGTGTCTAACAAGAAAAGGATATAACTATAGCAGTGGTTCAAAACCAGCTGGAGACACTTTGGTTGTCACAACAGAAGTAGAGGATGGGGAGGGGGCACAATTGCTTTGTAGCAGATGAAGCCAGGGATATTGCTAAACACCCTACAATGCACAGGAACACAAGAAACAGAATTATCCAGCCCAAAATACCAATAACTTAAAGTTGAGAAACGCTGAAATACAGTCACTGACCGAAAAGAGCTTATAATCTAGAAAGGAAAAATTAATTTGCAACTATAATCTATGAACAAGAAGTCAGAATAAATATGTTATTGGCCAAATGCCGTTGCAAGTTTTACATCAAAGAGAGGTAAAATATGATCTTTACCATAAAAACATGTCACACTCAGGATGGAGAGTAATCAGAATTTCAGTGGTTCTATAATAAAAATCAGCATACCATTACAGGTAGCACTGTATATTTTAACTTCTGAATGACAAACACTTTTAGTATTTGTTTGTGAAAGGATATGTACAAAATGAGGCTAAAATACATATCTGAATTTACATTGGACATATACCTTTTTTATGTTATGTGAGTATAACAGTATTAGTTAAAATCATATATCAAGAGATTTTTGGTATAACTCCAAGGAGTATAATAAATTATAATAGTTCAAATTTCTCTTCTTCAAAAATTCTATACACAGAGACTTGTGGACTGTCTGATCATATTTGCTTTCAACCACTACCTGCAATTACATAACTGAGAAATAAACTACCCTCAAAGACTCTTAAAAATTTTGTACACTTGATCACTTTGAATAATCTTATCCCACCCCAACGAAAATCCTATAACATCTAACCACCAAAATAATATACTACTTTGTAGTTCTCCAACTTAAGTGTGCAGCAGTATCATCTGAAGTGCATGTTAAAAATACATACTCTCCTGACCTATTCTCAAAGACTTTAATTTGGGAGGGCTGGTGTGGGCCTTCAGAATCTGAACTGACATTGAACAGACCCAGGTAATCCTAATACGGGTAGTCTACAGACTACTCACTGAGAAACACTGATATCATGTCTGACTAAAAAGCAACCTATGGGGATGAAGAGCTATCTATGAAACAGCCAAACCTTTAGTCTTCTATAGGCAGGCATAGCATAACACTGACAAATGGCTTGGAAAAAAATTCAATTTCCTTATCTGTTTGATTCCAAGTTCTACAAAAGCACTTATATTTGAGCTGTTTTTAAGTATTTAAGGAATCTGAGAATTATAAGCCAAAAATCTATTTGTAATCTCTAGACTGTGGGTTCTGAATACTTTTTTAAAATACTAGGAGGATACTTTTTTCTCTGCAGGGAGTATAATAAATTATAATAGTTCAAATTTCTCTTCTTCAAAAATTCTATACACAGAGACTTGTGGACCGTCTGATCATATTTGCTTTCAACCACTACCTGCAATTACATAACTGAGAAATAAACTACCTTCAAAGACTCTTAAAAATTTTGTACACTTGATCACCTTGAAAAATCCTATCCCACCCCAACGAAAATCCTATAACATCTAACCACCAAAATAATATACTACTTTGTAGTTCTCCAACTTAAGTGTGCAGCAGTATCATCTGAAGTGCATGTTAAAAATACATACTCTCCTGACCTATTCTCAAAGACTTTAATTTGGGAGGGCTGGTGTGGGCCTTCAGAATCTGAACTGACATTGAACAGACCCAGGTAATCCTAATACGGGTAGTCTACAGACTACTCACTGAGAAACACTGATATCATGTCTGACTAAAAAGCAACCTATGGGGATGAAGAGCTATCTATGAAACAGCCAAACCTTTAGTCTTCTATAGGCAGGCATAGCATAACACTGACAAATGGCTTGGAAAAAAATTCAATTTCCTTATCTGTTTGATTCCAAGTTCTACAAAAGCACTTATATTTGAGCTGTTTTTAAGTATTTAAGGAATCTGAGAATTATAAGCCAAAAATCTATTTGTAATCTCTAGACTGTGGTTTCTGAATACTTTTTTAAAATACTAGGAGGATACTTTTTTCTCTGCAGCACATAAAACATCTCCTCAATGCTCTATTTAAGTGGATGATGCATCCTTCACTGACATCAAATGCTAAATAACACTAGACAATTTACTTATGTCAATTGGTTAGTTGTTCTCCCCATAAATAGCACATAAAACATCTCCTCAATGCTCTATTTAAGTGGATGATGCATCCTTCACTGACACCAAATGCTAAATAACACTAGACAATTTACTTATGTCAATTGGTTAGTTGTTCTCCCCATAAAAATTTAAGTTCCATAAGGGCAAAGATTTTTGTCTGTTTTGCTCAATAATATACACCAGTGACTATAACATGCCTGACATATCCTACCATATGGTAATCACTAATCAAATACTTGCTAAATGAATACATTTTGACTCTACAACTTTTCTACAAAGGAATAATTTTTTCAACAAATCACATTTGCACAATTCAAGTAGCCAAAAGATTTACAAGCAAGCATCATCATGCAGGTTGCAGTGCAAGTTGGGACAGCGAGATAGAGGAGTTTTAGTATTCCATATCTATGGAGTAAATTATACAAAGTATATAAAGTACCTATGACAAGGCCTGGTGGTCTGCAATATATACCAGTTCCCATTTCCCTAATTCCAAACCTAGATGGTTTGCTTGAGATGTGTTGCATGTATATGTTTCCTACACTGCAACCTCTACAGGTTTTTTCCTCCTGCTGATTCAACACAATGTATAACACAATGCTAAGTGAATAAGAAATAAAATTTATTTATAACAATCATAGCATCAGAGACAAAAATTAAACCTCTGAACGGTTTATAAAAATGAAAGAAAGAGTGCCATCATGAAGCATCTAATAAGTTTCAAAATATAAATGAGGTCTTAACACTTATAATGGCATTTTTAATAATGGCATTTAAGATACCTTCTCTAAGCTACTCAGGAAAAAAAATTTTGCCTATTTTTTCACTAGTCATACTGCTACTTATGCTAAGTATGCTAAGAATCTTACACTACTATTTTCCATTGTTGCTCTTTACACTACAAAGCCAATCGATCACATCTATGATTTTACTCATGAAAACATCTGTAAGGATGACTGTTTCCACTTCATTCTACTGCTCCACCTAGACTGGACTCCTAGCACCCTATATCAAGACATACAAAAATAAGCTTACATAATCTTCCTGTTTCTACCTGCTCCTCTGTTGCATCCTGCAAGTTGCTACCAAAAATACGTTTTGAAGTCATTTGCCTTCTCAAAAATGTTTATTGCCTCCCTAATGACAACTAATAAAATCCAAAATACTCTGAGACCTAGAAGGCTCTTAACAATCTGGCATTCATTATCCTTAAACAGCATACATGTGCAGCTAGGTTTTGAATATAAAATATAGCCATGTATCACATAGCAATGTTTAAACTCAATGATGGACCACATATACAAAGGTGCCTATACCATGTAGTCTAGGTGTGCAGTAGGCTATACCATCTAGGTTTGTGTAAGTCTATAATGTTCGCCTAACAACAAAACTGCTTAATAAAGCATTTCTCAGAACATACCCATGCCATTAAATGATGCGTGACAGTACAATCCTCACAACCTGAAGGATTATCACTCCCTTACAAACATGGAAAATAAAACTATGAGAGGTTAAGTACTTCCCCAAAGCCACTAAAGTAGGACATGGCAGAGTTGAGATTAAAACCTAAATTTGTATTGCTCCAAAGTACAATCCAGAGTATGATGCTGATTTCCCAAAAGAAATATTCATTACATACTCTCACTTTCTTCATTAGCTAAAGGAAAAGGAAACACACATTTATTGAACACAAAGGGTTTTACATGTGCTACATCATTCAAACCTCAAAACAACCAGTAAAAGAAACATTATAATGAAATATTTACCAAAATGGAAACCAAAGCTTAGGGTGCTCAGAAACTTCCGCAGTGTTACAGAGCAGAAATAGCAGGCAGAGTCAGGATTTGAATTCAAGTCAGCTTTCAGAAGACATGCTCCTTCCAAATTTCTATGATACCTTATTCATACTCCTTTTTTCTTCCTAAATCCTTTAAGATGGGTATTAGTAAACTTTTTCTGTAAAGGGTCAGATAAATATTGTAGGATTTGGGGGCACACAGTCTCTGTCACACTACTCGATTCTGCCACTGGAGCATGAAAACAGCCATAAACAACAGTAAAGAAATGAGTGTGGCCGTGTTCCAATATAACTCTATTTACAATCACAGGCACTAAAACAGATTTGGTCTATGGGCTGTAGTCTACCCACCTCTGCTTCACTCTATTCTCTGGTACACACTCATTAAGCTCATTTTCAACTCTGATTTTTCCCTAATTTTCTTTCTAATGTGAACACCTTCCTAATCCTCACTTGTATTTATTCTAACTCAACTCATCCTTCAAGTTTTTAGTTATTCCTCTACCATGCAGACAACAAACTCTCATTCTTAACTCATACAGCAATATCCATAGTTTAATACTCAACTTTCTGTAGCTGCCTCATGTAAACTGATTATTTCAAGCGGACTCGAAGTAGAAACAATGGCTTAAATATCTATGCCAGGCATATGATTAACATATACTGCATATTACATATTTAATGGCTAATTCATTTAACGCATAAAGTATACAGTCTTAAATTATTAATTTTACATGAGCAAAAATTCTTCCTCCCACCTTAAATACTGCTGCATATAATTAAAATATTTTCATTGTAAGAACAGTATCATAAACTAAGTAAAGGCTTACTGGAATAGGAAGTAGCATCCATCTTTCCAACTTTAACTGGAGAACCAATGCTTTTCATCTCAACACCAACTTCATTCCAAATCGGTTCCAGTTTTTTACAATGGCCACACCATGGTGCATAAAACTTGTTCAAAAAAAAAAAAAAAAAAAAAAAAAAATGACTAAAATTTTGTGCTACTGTGAATATCAATTTTAACATTTAAAGAAACTCTTTGACTAAACGACCTACTAATAATCCGTTAGACAAAACGTTTAAATATAATTTTTAAAGTGGTTCAGTAACAAAAGAAAAAACACATAGACATAAACCTAGTAGGCACATACCTCAAAAATGAAACTATTTCAAGATCACTTAAATAACTACTGATACCTGTTTAAAATAGACATACAATTTACAATAAAAACACCTCTACTTCCAAATGAATGTGTCCATGATCAGTATAAAATGAAACCACCAAATAAACACACACACACCATGCCATCTGCGCACCCCCTGAGCATTAATGATAATCATCCATCTACTGCTATTACAAAAATCCCAACACAGTAGGAGCCTTTGCTGACTTTAATCGTAACCATTGGTAAGATATGAGAGATCATTAGATCATTAAGATAACTAGTATGGCACGGGGCAAGTCAGTTTGACTGAACTAAAACCACAATCCTTCATTCTTTTCAGAACCGACAGATGGTGGGGGTGATACTTAGGTTTCCCTGGTTAAGTGGTATAACAAATTGCTTGTTGTATTTTCTAGCTTTATACTATGGAAATGCTCCAGCATACACAAAAGAAGTAAGAATTAAACAATGGACCTTCACACCCCATTGTCCAGCTTCAATAATCAAACTGTGCCACTCTTACTACATTTCTTTTGCTGCTACTCTACTTCTTGCTGAGGCATATTAAAATGAGTCCCAAATATAATAAGGTTTCAATATATTCCAAACTTGAAAGTGAGAAGATAATTTTGTTCATTATTAAGATGAAAATATGATTTTGACTATTAAGTGAGGTTAATATACTAAATCGCTTGGAAAATATGAAGAAAGAATAGTGAATTCTGTAATAAAAACATACTATAATCTCCCTAAGACATAATCCATAAGTTGAACTCATTGTAACAGGGTTCAGCTTCCCCTCTGAAAGCTCCCATCCCTAGAATTTCATCAAAAATAGGTTCCCTTGCCAGGAACCTTAAAGCTCTAAGCTTTATTTTAATATAAAAACCCAAATAATAATACTTGAGAAAACAAGTTGAGCATATACATAAGCACTAACTATATACTAACATCTTTTGGTGGAATAGAAATACTTAAAATGGTAGATAATACTTGAGAAAACAAGTTGAGCACATACATAAGCACTAACTATATACTAACATCTTTTGGTGGAATAGAAATACTTAAAATGGTAGGGGTGGGTAATTAGCACATAAAATTTACATACTCACATCTACAAGCCAAATGTCATCTTTTCGATTTTCTTTAAACCTAAAAAAAAGAAAATCAAATATTTGTATGTTTTGTAGGGATAAGTTGATAAGTATAGTAGCACAGAACAAACTCTTTACATAAAATTTGTATACTGTGTCCTCTAAATCTTATCCTATCCATTAAACATCTTAAGAATAAAAGTAGAGAACTGATCAAAGATAAAGTAATTAGGAGTAAAGAATCCAACAAAAAGAATTAAAGCAGGACTTGGTAGAAACATAGATATACACCTGAACTCCTTCTATTCCATTTTACACCTGTGCAGAAAAGTTAATGTAGCAAGCTTGAGGTTATTATGCTTAGAAAGGCCTGCTCGCAAAACTGCTCCTTGGTTGTTATCTGGAAACTTGGATTTTAGGAGGGTTCCCACCATTTCCTGGTAAACATGGCTCCTGTTCATAAAATGTTTGTAAAAAGTATCTAATTGGGGAATTGCTGCATTGAGATCCCAGACCACCTGACTGAGATGTGTAATCCAGGCTGTGGTAATCTTGTACCACACCATCAGCTGGTTAGGCTTGTCATTTAAGTGTCCATTAAAATGCTCAACCACCTTTGAATTAGGGTTAATACAGAATGTTGATGGAGAGTCCACGGTATGCCCCATGACTGGGCCCACTGCTATGTAGCTTGGGCTGCAAATCCAGGGCCATTATCAGACTGCAGTGTTCTAAGGTTACCTAAACAGGAAACATGGTATTGTAGAGCCTAGATGTGGCCCAAGGCAGTGGAATATAATATACGGGATGGCTAAGCCAAATCCACAGAAACATCAACTGCAGTAAAGACCAAGAGGAACAATATGAATAGGATGAGGGCCCCAAACCGTTCTATCTGCTAAGAATGCCCTATCCCACCGGCTTGAGGGATCTGTCCCTGGGCAGTATTTTTAGCCTCAACCAAGGGTCTGACAAGCAGGACAATTTTTCATGCTGTTTTGTTATCTTTTAACAGTAGTGGCAGTCCATGTGTTCTTGCCCAGTCTAGGAAAAATTTCCTGTATCTGAATTTCCATGACCTATCTTCTTGTAGATCCAGGAGGGAATTGGTTGCAGATCTCCTTGCTCTGAAGTGAGAAACTATTCAGTACCCATATTAGTGGTATGCTCTTGGCAATGGTCCCTTTTGTTCTGGTGAGCATCCACACAGGTAAGAAAATGATTATGAAGAGCAGAATCCCTTCCTCCTCCTCAGGAAGTCACCACTGTTAGGGCACTCTGAAGGAGAAGGTCTGTAGTGACACACCCCACAAGGTACCAGTAAGTTTAGCAAGATCACCTCCTTGTTAACAACGGTTCCCCTCAGAATCAAAACATTTCTGTAAATAATCCGATAGCACCCCCCAAGACCCATTAATATGAATGCCAGTGCCCCAATGGGACCCTCAGAATTTTTGCTCTTCCAGAATAGCACTGTATTCAACTGATCACCTGCTCACTGTACCAATCTATCATGCAATGAGGCATCCAGGTGGTCAATTAGGACAACAGCTAAAGTGAAAGTAAAAACCTCAAGCCTATATTTATCTACTGTGATAGTTCAAGCCAAGAGGCAAAAAGGAAGCACCAGCTCCTCAGTGTTCTGTTTTTCCCCCCATGGAAGAGCACCAGGCCAGAGTAGGATCAGGTAGATGCAGCACAGACAGGGAATTCATCTCACTGCCTGGGAGCACCAAACAAAAGGCTTCTGCCTCCTTATGGGGAAGCAAACTGAGAAAGGACTAGCAGAGGAAAAGCACCTCAACTGAGGCCCTTGATAAGGAGCTTTTGGCAGAGGTGTCTGGGAAATGCCTCAGGTGAGGCTCCCATAAGGAGGCTTCCAAGTAGAGGCAACTAGCATAGGACTGCAGATATGCATATGAGCATGGCTGGCATGGGAGGCCTGAGTCCTTGACTACAACTCCCCCCAGGGACTGCAATGCACTGGATGAACACCAAGTTTGGTGTTGGGGGGGAACCTTTCTTCATGTGGCCTGCCAGGAAAAGCCTTGTGAATTGACTATGGTCAAGCCTGGAATATCAAACATTCTGGTTGAAGCTGAACACCTCACCTACTATAAGCAAGGACTTGTGATTAATGCTATGGATACTAGAAAGATAAACATAGTATGGTTATTGAATTCCAGAACCCACTCAATGATTAAAGTGAAAAGACACAATAATACAAGGGAAAATTTTTAAAAAAGAAAAGAATATGGAACAGTCTGCCACAGTTTTTTAATCTCATAACTATTAATAAAACTCTTTTGGGCACACCCTCATTTTGTACTAATGTAGCACTTAGAACCCCTGAAACAAAATTAGTGATAGGTAAGCATTGGTCATAACTATCTGTAGGATTAAAAGATTAGATTCACATGGGAATATTTAGATAACATCTGAGATGAACAAAATTAAAATATTAAAAAAATATATATATATACTCACGATTCATCTAGATCTTCTACAAATCCTTTACTGAAAGCCATATCAAGTAAAACAACTGGAATAAAAGAAAGAGAAGACAAAATGTAGACAATAAATGCTGATTTACTACTTGGCTCACACTGTTTGCTTAGTCACCCATAGTGGCTTTTTACTTAACAATCTACCAAAAAATTCATCACTGATCCATCCCACGGTACAAGTGATGCAAAAGCAGAAGTAGTTCATCCATTTAACAACATTTACTCTGCACGCAACCATCCTGTGACTGGCGAGTTCTATGCAGGCTAGTAAATCTTATACTAGAGCTACTTTTTCCACATATTTTCACTCTCATCTTATTTTTCCTTTTTACCATTCTATATTCTTGGACTAGAGAGAGAAATCGTTCCTCCATATTTTTCTCTAATAGCAATTATGTCTTTCAGTAAAAATTCAAAATGCCATTCAAATACTATTAGGTCCTCCATCCCCCCCGCCCCCAATAACAGACTAAAAGAAAAAGTCAAGCTGTACCTCTAAAACTTATTACAGGTAAGTGCCTGGCACACAGTTGGCTCTAAAGGGTTACTGAGGAAGTGAGCAAACCTCGATGAGAACCAGGGGACCCCGCGCAGGCTGGAGGCTGGGAAAGGTTCACACACACTCAGGTCACTTTTCACACCGCACGATCCCGATGGGCTGACCACGACCTGCCCTCGGCCATCCCTTTCTTAGTCTCGGTGGCAAAAATCCTTCCAAAGCGACAAGACTCGGAATCTAAAGCCAAGCAAGAGCTGGCCATAGCTGAGCGGGTGACATCCTCCTCGCCTATCAATGGAGTCAGCGCTACCGAAACTTCTGCTCAAACAGTAAGAAGAAACCAAACATCCGACGGCGGCATCTTTTCCACGTCTGGCACCCGGTCTCCACAAGGCCCGGATGGGGGAAGGACCCGACGGTGTCCATTCAGTCAGGTCGCCGCAAGACGGCGGGCGGGTCCGGCAGGACGAGGCCAGGACCGGTACGTATCTCCGCGGACCCCTCAGGCCTCGCCCAAGCCCTGACCGGCGACCCCAGCCCCGGCTCCCACCCCAGAGCCGGGTCTCCGCGCGCCCCTTACCTGCGGCGCAGAACCGCAGCACGGCTCGGCTCCTCCGAGCTGCCATGCTTGTCAGAGAGAGCTGCAGGAGCCGACTCCGCATAAAGCAGAGACGCCGGCGCCCGCCCCCCGCCCGGAAAGGGAACCGGGGCGACCGGGCACTGAGGGCGGGGCCGGGGCAGGCCGGCCTCCGCTGCCCGCCCAGGACCCGCCAGGCTGCGACTCTGAGCATGCGCGGGACTGCAGTGTGTGCGCAGGCGCGTTCTCAGGAATCTTCTGCTCTCTTCACTGCCTTGGAGAGCGTGGGCGGCTTCCTGTAGGGGGCGGAGCGGTATGTGCATTGGGGGCTGTTTGGAAAAAAGTAAATGCCGGTGAAATTTACTGCTGAGGGGCGGTAGGTTCAGACCGAACATTTCGAGGTTGATTTTTTTTTTTTTTTGGCCGCTGGCCGGTAGGAGGATCCGAACCGGTGACCTTGGTGGTCTAAGGTTTCCGGGTTGAATTTTGCCAAATCCTTTGCTTGCTCTTGCTGTACAGTGAGCGTTCTTGTGCATTTTGATGGTACATCAGATTCGTGGAAAGAGGCGTGCGTTAGCCGTGGGTGGCAAAATGGAAAGCTGTGGATTTTCTGAGCTATGCAACTTTCCATATATTTCCAAAACGTCTGTCATGTAGTAATTAGCTCCTTTAATGCATTTTGCCAACTAAAAATCCCTCTTTCAAATTTTTTCTTGAAACCTGAAAGAATGCAAGTTGAGCATAGGATTTTCTTTTTTTTTATTGGTTATAAAGCTGATTGTCACCACTTATTCCCAAAATGCGATGGCCAGATCCATACTGGCAGATTGCCCATTATCTCAATTTGAGATTATACCCCCTGTCCCCTATCCAATTATCTCGGACCTCCCTCTCCATCCCCCTTTCCCCCACTCCACCTTGTGTCCCTAGGTAGAGCATAGAATATTTTTTGATGATTTTTTTTCTCTGTTTTTTGATTATTTAGGGAATAAATAAAATACTTGGTATAAAACATATTGCCACCTGGTTTTATTTCTACAATTTACTTTTATATGATGGTTCCTGCAGCAGTCACGACATTTTGGATGAAATTTTTATAGGACATAAAGTACCAGAGGATTTAGATTAAACCAATTCTTGAAAACGTATGTTATGAGAACAACAGAAAGGGATTATGATGTCAGCTGGTTCACCTTAGATTCAAAATTCCAACAGGCAAAAATCTCATAAAAACATTGCTGTTTTGGGGGACTGGAAGATTAAATTGCAATCTGAGATCAAGCCGTAGCTTTTATCCCTTTTACTGCATACAGTGTGATATCCCTTCCAGACCTTCTGCAGATCCAAATAATTTTTGAATAAAAAAGTAGACAGAAAATAAAGGGACTATTAAGGTAATGGGTATGTTACCATTGGTTGTAGAAAAGCTTTATAGTTAGTGCTGTAGGCTTCATAATATGTTATGCAGAGGCTTTTCTACTTTCTAGGCAAGGTCTCTGAATAACGCAACTTCATTTTTTTTCCCTTCATTTTCAAGTATTTCAAAATTCTGTCTTCCGTAGCATGTAAAATAATTTCTTTTAGAATTTGCATTACAGCTCAAATTAGCATGTGGAGAACAAAAACCCCCCTTGACCTAGACCTGTACATTCCAATAGTGTAGCCACTAACCAACCACATGTGCTCATTGAGTTCTTGAAGTGTGGCTCCTGTGACAGAGTAACTGAATACAGTCATGTGTCACTTAGTGAAGAGGATACCTTCTGAGAAATGGGTCCTGAGAAATTTGTCCTTAGGCAATTTTGTAATATTGTGAAAGTATGTTATGAAAGGGAACAACAATGAATTTTCCTATTATCTACACTGGCCACTAGTTGCATGTGTGGGCCTTCTAATTATGTTACTAACTTTCCCTGTGCCTCACTTTCCTCATCTAAATGGGATTAGAATAATAACACTCTCACAAAGTTATGAAAATTAAATTACAGTAGGGATTGTGCCTTGCACTCAGTGAGTGTTAGCTATTATTTTGCTGTGGAGATAGGTGGTAATTATTTTAAAATGCAAGAATTCTAAAGTAAACAACCACTCTTTCACTTGAAGTCAAACCTGCAGTGTCAAATGCTTACGCTTCTATCTTAAAGGTCTGAGCTTCCTTTGGCAGGGTCGCCCGCCCTGTGGTTAAATCAGGTACTCTTCCCCAACATATTTTGCACTGGGTTGTTAAACCAGCTGCTTACGCTTCTATCTTAAAGGTCTGAGCTTCCTTTGGCAGGGTCGCCCTGTGGTTAAATCAGGTACTCTTCCCCAACATATTTTGCACTGGGTTGTTAAACCAGCATCATCACAAACACGTGAATTATGCCTTGAGCTCTGATATTCCAACAACTACGACATGACTAGGCAATAGGAAATTTTCAGCTCCATTATAATCTTATGGGACCATCATTGTATGTGGTTCATCATTGACCAAATCGTCATTATACAGTACATGACTGTATTTAATCTTATTTAATTTTGGTAAACTTAAAAACTGACACTTGATTCAGTTATTAGAAAAATTTTAAGTATGGTTGGAACAACTATATATTTTTAACTGTGAATTTTGTGAAATCTAAATACTGATAAAGTATATCTGATGAAATTTTAGAGTCTGCAATTAGAATTATGAATATAAAATATAAACTGGATTTTGAAGACAGTATAAAAATGTAAAATGTCACAATATTTTTATATTGATTATATGTTGAAATGAAAACATTTTAGATATGTTGAGTTAATAAGACATATTATTAAAATTATTCTTAACTGTTTCTTTTTTAATTTTCAATGTGGCTACTAGATTTTAAATCATGTATGTGACTTGCATTATATTTCCACTGCACATCACTGACCAACCCAATCTGAAAATGATCAAAATAATTCATTAATCTAAAAATAATCGAAACAAAACAAGTTTTTAGAGTGTTGTGCAGAAAACAGGATAAATTTCCATATGCTAAAACTTGTCTTCAGTGAGTTTATGGTACAATATGGAATAACATTTTTAACTAATGGATAATGTGTTTCTCCTGCTTATTTGTCTCAAGTGGTAATGAATATCCTTGAGATTTAAGAGATTCTATAATAGTGACAAGTTTAAATTTTTTAAAAATTTTTTAGATGAACTACATATTATACAGATATATGCCTTATATATTTTGCATAAATATTGATATGGTTTAAATGTGTCCCCCAGAGTTCATATGTTGAAATTTAATTGCCAATGAGACTTAATTGCCGATGAGATAAAATTAAGAAGTGGGCCTTTGGTGGTGACTAAGTTATGAGGGTGGCACCCTCATTAATGGGATTAGTGACTTTACAGAAGAGGTTAAAGGGAGCATCCTAGTCCCTTTTCCTCTTCTGCCTTCTGCCATGTGAAGACCCATCAAGAAGGAAGAGAGAAGGTACCATCTTGGAAACGGAGTAGGCCCTGACCAGAAGCTGAATCTACTGGCACCTCATGATATTGGACTTCCTGCCTCCAGAACTGTTAGAAATAAATTTCTATTATTTATAAATTATACAGTCTGTAGCATTTTTTTATAGCAGCAGGAATGGGCTAAGACACATATGGTTACCAAAAAGCATGGACAAGGATGTCTGTAACAGCACTGTTTTTAGTTGTGAAAAACTAAACTACTCAAATGTCTAGTAGTAAGATGGACAAATTGTGCTGTATTCCCATAGTAGAATACTATATAGCAATGAGAATGAATAAACTTTTGTATAGAGAACTAGGTGGACACATATCATAAACTAAACATTTAGCAAAAGAAGCCAGAAACCAAAGAAAGGTACTCACTGTATGATTTTATTTACACAAGCTCAAAAACAGGTAAATTAATCAATACTGTTAATAGTTAGGGGTATAGGTAAATGTCTTGTTTCTTGATTTGGTGCTGCTTACAAAGATGTGCTCAATTTGTGAAAATGCATTGAGCCATACCCTTAGGGTTTGTGTACTTTTCTGTGTGTAGGCTGTAACAATAAAAGTTTAAAAATAAGAATAAATAAAGCTATTTATGTTTAAGTGTGTGTTTTTCATGGAAAAATATTATATAGTGTTAAGTAGTGCTTCTCAAATTTTGGTAAGCATCAACTACCTGGAGAGTTGATTAAACACAGATTCCAATCACTCCCTAGAGAGTCTGATCCAGTGAGGCCCATTAATTTGCATTTCTCACAAGTTCCCAAGTGATACTGTTACTTCTGTCCTGCATATCTCATTTAGTGGTGTGGAGGGAAAATAAATTCAGAAAATACCATCCCTTTTTAGATTGCTTTGTGCAAAATTAAAGGTATTATGAGATACAGATCTGTTGTATTTTTATTATAATTACCATTATTGTTTATTCAGTGTACTAACTACCATTAATGATATTAAGATCTAAAGAAGGACATAAATGTAGACAACAGAGGTTAACAAGATAAAGAACAACTTTATAAAAATATATATGAAAACTGAAGTCAAAATCATAAAAATATAACGAAAATCAATTCAAAAACTAAAGAGACAATAATTGGGTAGCCACTAAAAAATTGAATCTGAAGTTTGAAATTACTCCATAAAGAAAACATTTGGCCCAATTGGTTTTACAAAATGTGCTTCCCATCTTTAACAACAACAAAAACAAAACAAAACAAAAAAAAAACTTTATATTAGTCAGGATTCTCCAGAGAAACAAAACCAATAGGAGGAGATTTATTATAGGAATTGGCTCATGCAGTTATGAGAGCCAAACAGTCCCATGACCTGCCATCTGCAAACTAGAAAACAAGGAAAACTGGTGTTGTAATTCAATCCAAGTGTGAAGGGCTGAGAATCAGGAATCAGAAGATCTGAAGGTGGGGTAGGAGGTGGGGAGATGATTGATGGTGTAAATCCCCATCTGAGTCCCAAAGCACAAGAATTAGTATCAATGATGTCTGAGGGCAGAAGATGGATGTCTCAGCTCAAGCAGAGTGAATTTGCCCTCCCTCCACCTTTTTTTCTATTCAGGCCTTTGATGGGTAAAGTGATGTGCA